AGTTTGGCTCAAGCCATCTTGACCCACCGAAGTTTTGGCTCACGCGCGGTGCCTTGTCTTTTCGGATGCTGGACATCGGTCGTGGGTGTCGAGAAGGCGCTATTTCCCTTGAAGCGTCGATCAAGAACTGCGGTCGGACAAAACAATGAAACGCCGCACTGCGATTGCTCCGCGAAGGAGTTCGATCAGATGTTCAACTCGTCCAAAGCCACTACGTTGCGACTGTCAGCGCATGCAGAAAAGGCAGACAATGGCAACACGCGCTGTCAGTGCTCAGTGAGATGCGGGAGGCGAAGCTGGAGCCCACCGTCCTCAGCTACAGCGCTGGGATCAGTGCCTGCGGGAAGGGCGAGCAGTGGCAGCGCGCGTTGGCGATTTTTAGCGAGATGTGGGAGGCGACGCTTCAGCCCGACGTCATCTGTAGTACAAATCTGGTCGTTGCGCGTGCAGAAGGGGCGAACGGGTCGCGAGCCGTCCCCAAGCGCCCGCAGCGCCCCGGCCCTCTCCAACGGCTCCGGAGAACCCCTCGGTGGCCCCAAGACGGCTTCTGACAGCCCCATGACAGCTCTGAGACGCTCCAGAGCGCGCGAGGGAGGCCGAAGAGAACCCGAACGGAGCCCCACGACAGCCCAGACGGCCCGCCGACTGGCCAGGTGCCCCTGAAAATGGCCGAACTGAACCCCGATGACAGTCCCCCGAGGCCAAAAATCTCAGATGTCCTTGCGTTTTTCGAAGGTTTTCCATATTCCCGCTATTTCGGACAAAGAACGGCTCCAGACGGCTCCGGGGCCATCCCAGATCGCCCCAAGACGGTCCGGGAGGCCCCGCCAAGTGCCCCAAGACGGCCCACGAGGGCCCGAAAGCTGCCCCAGAGAAGCCCACGACAGCCTCATAGCCCCCGGAGGCCCCCAAACAGCCCCAGGCCCCAGGAGCTGGCCAGCAGGTCCCAAAGCGGGTTCCAAGACGCCCAGGACAGCCAACATCGCCCCAGGACAGCCCGAGAGGCTCCCGAGACGGTTCAGGAGTTCCCCCAAATCGCCCAAGAAGGCCCCAAGAGCTGAGCTCAAGCGGGCTCCCAAACGGCGCGAACCATCCAACATAGCTCCCAGACGTCCCAGAACTCCCAACATCAACAGCACCCCCAGATGGCCCCAGGACGTCCATACAAGCCCCCCGACGGCCCAAGAGTGTTCCAAAATGGCCCCAGAAATGCCTCGGCGCGCCATCAGCCACGGCACCCTTTCGCCGCCTCTGGAATTCCAGAAGCCTCAATGAAAATCGCGGACCCCGAACGAAACCCCAGACCACTCCGACGGAGCTCCCAAGATAGCTTCCCGCCCCGCCTCCCAGGTAACCTCAAAGCTTCTTACCCGTAATAAGGCCCAACGAGCCTCCTCTCCCCGTTTAGCTCTCTTCTCTCACTCGTCCTCCTTTTTCCCCTTCCTCTAAGCTCCAGCCACTCTGGGGTCCCGACACAAACGATTCGGGGTGGCAAAGGGGAGATGTAGACACCTCGGAGCCCCTGCAGCAGCACCCGCATTATGTCTGTCTCCGAAAGACTCCAAAATAATCAAAAGACCGCACTCGCTCTACAGAAAGTACTCTCTTCATCGTCGGCCTCCTGCTTGCTCTCATGTGCCTCAATCCCTCCTCTTCTGTCTCCCGCGCCCCAGCACGTATCGGGCCTCCCCCCAGCGATTAGGTGACAAGGGGGACTTCTTCTCTCTTCTGTACCCTGGCTTCCTTGTCTGCGAGCGTGCACCTCTCTCTCTCTCTCTGGAATGGTCTCTTCCTCCAACACCCCCCATTTCGATCAGGGGTTACAAGGGGGACCTTAAGCTATCTTCTTTACCTCGGTTTCCTTCTCTGGGAGCCTTCACTCCCCGTGTCTCCAGTACCGGTCTCCTCCTCCTCCTCCTCCTCTTCCTCCGCCTCTTCCTGCGAGAGGCTGCAGCCAGACTGGACTGCGGGAAGCCTTCGATACCACAAGAACCCTCCAGGGACCACTCCGACATAGCCCAGACTCTCCCAAGACATTCGCAGACAGTCACCAGCAGCGGAGCCTGGAAACCCACAGGCGCCGGCGACACATGCGCGTTCGGTACCGACACCTTGACATGCCAGCCGTAGATTTGCCACGGGTTCACACTGGTCTCTCGTACATGGCGGGGGGAAGCGCGTGCGGGAAGGGAAACGGATCAAGTGTCGAACATCGGTCTCGGCGGGTCCTTGGCGCGGCCTCCTGGCGGCGCAGGCGCGGCCCAGCGTGCCTCCAGGCGGCTCGAGCACGCTTCTGGACGCCTTCAGGGATCGCCGAGATCGGGCCAAGAGCCCCAACATGGCCCCGGGACGGCGCCAGAGGCCGTCTAGACGGCTCGCGGCGGCCACAAATCATTGATGTTCCGCTAGTTTTTTTACAAGACTTTCAGGTTCTCGCGATTTCGAGCCAAGAGCGGCCCACGGTGAAGATGGAGCGGGGTGGCCCCGGACAATTTCTGAACATTTGCACCAGGGCTTGCGGTCTGTTCAGAAATTGTCCGGGCGCAGCCTCCGCCCGGACCCCCCCAGCAACTGCACAGATTTTGTCGTGGCCGTCGGCCACGGGTCAGCTACAATGCTGGGATCAGCGCGTGCGAGAAGGGCGAACAGTGGCAGCGGGCCCTGTCGCTGCTGAGCGAGATGCGGGAGGAGAAGCTGGAACCCGACGTTATCCGTGCTACAATTCTGGTCGTCGCGCGCACGACAAGGGCCAGAAGGTCGCGAGATGCCCCCGAGCGCCCGCAGCGCCCCCAGACGGCTCCAAAGAGCCCACAGGTGGTTCCAAGACGGCCTCAGGCAACCCCACTACAGCTCCGAGACGCTCGGGATGGCGGGAGGTCGCCCCCCCAGAGAACCCGAGCAAAACTCCATGACAGCCCAAGACGGCCCGACGACGGGCCCCATGCCTCCGAAGACGGCCCACCCGGACCCCGATGACGGTACCCCGGGGCCAAACATTATAGAATTTCGTGTTTTAAGAGGTTTTCCGTGGTCTCACCGTTTCGGCTTCAGAACGGCCCCATATGAGGCCTACGCCAGCCCCGGACGGCTCCAGGGACATCCAACATCGCCCCAAGAGGCTCCAAGAGGCCTCGCCAAGTGCCCCAAGATGGCCCCAGAGGGCCCGAAGGTTTCCCAACAGAAGCCCAAGACGGCCTCATACAGCTCCCGGTGGCCCCCAATATAGCCCGAAGTGTGCCCCAGTAGCTGTCCAAATCTTCCTGGAAGTTTCCGCGGGGGCCGCCGGGCTCGGGCGGGCCATGGCGGCCCGCGGATGCCGCGTTCTTGCGTGGGATGTGAGATATGGTACACAGTACGACTTGACACAATCGGTTAATCGTTCTCTGATCCGCGGCTGGATTTTGGGACGAGCTATTCTGGCGATGCACTTCGGCGTCCCGCGTGGATCCTGGTCTCGTGCTCGTGATGCCCCCCCGGGCCCCCCTCCTCTCCGATCCATCGAATGCGTGATGGGGCTCGCTGATCTTTCGGCCAAGGACCAGGCCAAAGTCGACCTCGGCAATTGCATGATGTCCTTCAGCGTTTCCTGTCTACACGTCTGCCGGAGGATGAGGATCTCTGGGGCGATGGGGAACCCCGCCACGAGCAGGATCTGGCTGGCGCCCGCCGTTGTCTCCCTCGCCCGGAGTCCTGCCTCACAAGTAGTTGCCACCGATTTCTGTCAATTCGGCACGCCCTGGGGTAAGCGCGCGAAATTCCTGGGCGCGTTGATCGATCTCTCATCAATCGAGAAACTGTGCAAGAGGAAGAATAATGTGTGCTCGGCCTCCCAGAGGCTGCATCTGAACCTCCAGGGTAAAAACTCTGAGGGCCGGTTCTGGACAGAGGTGGCGGAACCATGCCCCCCTCGTTTGTGTTTGGCCCTGGCGCTCGCCTTTTCTGAAGCTCCCATCGCGCTCAAAGCGCAAGGTATGGCTCGCCATCTCTGATCGGTTTTCTTTTTCAGTGTTTTTTCTCTTGCGGCCCTTCGGACGAGTAGACAAGTAAAGTTGGCTCCTTTTTCTGTCGGCATGGATCTGGTGGCCGGCGCCTGTCTCATATGCGCGCGTGCTGGCCTCTCACCGGTCTTGGCGGAAGTTGAGCCCTTCAGATCAAATGATGTTCCTGGTCTTGGAGGGGCGGGATACATCACAGTGTTTCACGCGAGTTTGCGTGGCGCCCCCCTTGTAAGCCGTCCACCGTATGTGGCTACCTCTGCTCGAGCTCCCTCCCGCGTGCCACCCTGCTCTCACAGTCTGCTCCCAAATGATATGGTGGCCGGCGCCTGTCTCACATGTGCGCGCGCTGGCCTCTCGCCGGCCCCGGCGGAAGTTGGGCCCTTCAGATGAAATGATGTTCTTGGTCTTGGAGGGGCGGAATACAATGTAGCATTTTGGCTCGGGCGCGTTGGCCAAGTTTCGTTACGAAAGCACAAGAGTATATGTGATATCAGCGATATCACTGCGTCAGTAGCAGCGGAACTGCTTGACCGCAGCTGCGCCGGCCGCGCTTGCATCGCGCCAGCGGTCCCAGCTGCGGCGCGGCCACCTGCGGCGCAGGAGTTTACATTCACTACTTTCATGTTGGTCCTCTTCGATTTCGTGTTGTTGCATCCTCTTGGATCCCCGACCACGCTAGGAATGGATCCGAATAGCGATCGGGAAGACTTCTACATGCCAGGCTGGAATGGCAGCCCGGCGTCTGGGCTCAATTTCAAGGAGGAAGTTCGCACGTAGTCGCTCGGTCTCAATCTAGACGTGCCCTACAGCATGGCAGCTCGTACGATCAGGGCGTTGGAAGGAGCAGCCCGCAGGGAAACAGCCACCCTGAGAAATGAGGATATTCATTTATTTCGCGCGGTTCAAGAACGCAGAAGCGAAGACGGCCAAGTCATTTGATAAACAGTTCCAGCAGATCTCGGGAGAGGGACCATAAACTTGTTCACAGCGTGCAGGAAGTGAGAGACGGGGTCAGATTTCTGCGAGACACGTAAGTGCCAGCGTAGACCAAGATTACGGATCTGTCACTACTTTGCGATGTTTGATCAGGGAGTGACGAGGTTTGCACAAGATGGAGTCGTCCATTCGGGCGATTCAGATATTCTCAGCTACTTCTACGCAGAGGCTCAAGATCACGAAGGAACAGCGAGAGCGACTCGCGGCAACACTACCGAACAATTTCTTCCAACTGCGTGAAGTTCAGACTACAGCGATGCCGAGTGTTCAAGATATCCACGCAAGCGAACGGAGATGCTTTCCTCTACGCGTTGATCAAGAATGGCAGCTGCATCGCGCGAAGGGCCGACGCACTCCGCCCGAGGGCGTCAACGTGACCGAGTTCGAGGAAGAGGAGTTCGGGGATGACTACCAGGACGGGGGCGCCCGAGTCGAGGAGCTAGATCAGCGCGAGCCCGAGGCCCTCGCCACCGAGTTCGGCGATATCAGAGAGGAGAACCTCGAACTAGAGCAAGCCGTGGCGGTCGGGAAGGCGGCGGCTCCACTCTCGGGGGTCGCCGAGGCCCCCGCGACGGCCCGCCGGGCCCGCGACCGCGTCGAGAAGGGCGGCTCCGCCTGTTCTGGAGGTGCCGCGGTCGCCCTGTCGCCGACGGGGCGAGGCGGCCGAGGGCCCGCTCCCAGCGGCGGGGGGCCAGGGCGCGGAAGCAAGTTCCAGCCGACGGAGGTTGCGCCCGATAAGAAGAAAAACTCACAGCGCAGTGTCTGTCACCAATGAAGCCATTGGTCGGGGGGCCCGGAGCGCCCCGGCCCGTTGGAGGCCTGGGCGGTCGCCGCGGGAGCGGGGGGCGACGAGGGGGGGGATGGAACAGTTGGCCGCGGAGATGCCATCCGCCATTCCGCGCGTGCGGGTGTGTGTGTGTGTGTGTGTGTGTGTCTGTGTCTGTGTCTGTGTCTGTGTCTGTGTCTGTGTCTGTGTCTGTGTCTTTGTCTGTGTCTGTGTCTGTGTCTGTGTCTGTGTCTGTGTCTGTGTCTGTGTCTGTGTCTGTGTCTGTGTCTGTGTCTGTGTCTGTGTCTGTGTCTGTGTCTGTGTCTGTGTCTGTGTCTGTGTCTGTGTCTGTGTCTGTGTCTGTGTCTGTGCGTGTGCGTGCGTGCGTGCGTGCGTGCGTGCGCGCGTGCGCGCGCGCGTGCGTGCGTGCGTGCGTGCGAGTGAGTGAGTGAGTGAGTGAGTGAGTGTGTGTGTGTGTGTTTGTGTGTGCGTGCGCTTCCCATCAGGTAACCAGGCCGCCCATCCTCCCGCGCCTAGCAGGTCCGTGGATCTCGGCGTCTCGTATTGCTCCGCGTGCTGGGCCCTTTCCAGCTACCCCCCAGCCCCTCTCCTGAGGTGGTCTTCTCTGGTTGCTCAGCGCTCAGCCGCCTTGCTGTGATGCCCCTCCCCAGCACCGCCTGGGCGTGGTCTCCCCCCGCCTCGCGCGGCTGCCTGTGGCTGCCGCCTCCCCCGGCTGCTGCTCCATCCGCCATCGCAGTCTTTCTGTTTAGCCGCCGACGCAACAAGTGTGTGTGTGTGTGTGTGCGCGTGTGCGTGTGACAGCGGCGATTGTAATCAGTGCCCACGGCCGGTTTCATGCGCAGACGTGCAGGTTCAGTACAAGAGAACAGCGCGGCAAATTCGAGGACGCTTGGAAGATTTCCCCTGATGGGGTGGCTCGAGATAAAGGGGCAACGACAGAGGGAACTGGCCCAACGTGGCCCAGGCGCCCCAGCCTGTCCAGCAACGCGCATCGGAGGTTCAACGCCGATGTTTCAGGCGATGTCTCGCCGATTCTTGGCCATTGTTTCCCCGTTGAGCCAGCCCCCACTCTCTCGCCCCCACATAATCATCACCATCACCATCACCATCAAGAAAATAAACGTTTACATGGGCATCATCATAAACATCAGCAGTATCGAAATCGAACTCATCAGCATCATCAACACCATCGTCGTCATCAGCAGCATCCGCATCATCATCAGCATCATCATCATCAGCATCAACATCACCATCATCATCATCATCATCATCATCATCATCATCATCATCATCATTACCGCCGTCATCAACATCATCAGCGCCATCATGATCATTACCACCACCGTCAGCATACGCACTTTCACCATATCCATCAACAGCAATATCAGCATCACCATCAACCTCACAACCACCAAAAGCAATGCTACCATCGTCAACACACCATCACAACATCACTTCGTAAACACCATCAACATCATCATGGTGACATCATCACACCATCACCATCGTCGTCATCAAGAACATCACCGTTAGCCCCCCGCGAGAGAGCGCGCCTCTCCCGGTCGTGGCCAGCGGTCGGGCTGGAGCTCCGGGCCCGCCGCCGAGTTGTTGGCCCTCGTCCTCGCCGGCACCGTGCTGCTCGCTGCCGCCGTCGCCTGCGGGCGCCCCACCGGATCCGTCAAGGCACGGGGGGGGTTCTGGGCCGAGGAAGGGGGAGGGGCGGAAGGGGGGCCTGGCTGCCACAGTAGACAACGGTAGTTGGCTTTTTTCGGGGCCGTGGTCGCCACGATCGGACTTGTATTTGGCTGAGGGGGTTCGAGTGGGCCTTCTTTTAAAATAGTCGACGTCCGAAATACGAAGTGCAAGGTCAACGTTGCTAGAAAACTGAAGTGAGGAAAAAGTTTGGATAAAGTTCGGCGGCGAAGAAGTTCCGAATATCTGGAGCGCGTGTGAACTGTTCGTGAATTCCCAAATGGGTTTCGCATTTTGTCTGACTTTTCCCGAATTGTTTCGAAACTTCCCCCAGACTCTGAAACTTGGTTCGATTGTGTTTCCAGGTTCTGTTTCACAATTCTGTTAAACCATTTCAAAGTTTGTTCAGACCCCCTCTGAACTTTGCACTTGCTTCGAACGCTTGCTGTCATTGGTTTGCGAACTCGAACTTCTAATCCTCCTTCCAGCCGAATCCAAGCCCTAATTCCGTTTCTTTTCCAGGAAAGCCAATCTTTTCCCGCGTCAGCCACTTGCACGAGCGGGAGGGGTCTGGGGACCCAATGTGAGCTGCCGTTGTCTTAGCTCGCCCCGCCCCAAAACTCCGGGGCACCGACAGGGGGCTACTGGCCTGGGGGGGGAAGCGTGGACCTCCAATCAATCGCCCACCCATTAATCTCCGACAGGGGGCCTGGTAGCCACCCTTCAAAGCAGCAGGCGGTGTCACTATCGTGTGCCTATCGCCGATCCATCGGCAAGTTCAATTATTCCCCCCTGGGCTGGTTCTTACCAATCGTTCCCATTTTTGGGGGGGAAGGCTCCTCCACCTAATCAGGTGATCTAACGGGAAGCCCCATGCGTCTTGATGCGCCTTTCCTCATGCCCCATGTGTTTTGCTTGCACTTAGGGTTTCTCAGCTGTTTGTCCAGTGGACTTGGGCCTATGTGTTGGTCTGGCGGCTATGTTCTCGCCGTCGCCGCCCCGTCGCCGCCTCGTTGCCGCCAGTCGTCTGGGCCTGGATGCTGGTCTGGCGGCAATGTTCTCGTCGTCGCCGCCCCGTCGTCGTCGTCGTCGTCGTCGTCGTCGTCCGCCCCGTTGTCGCCCAGATTGCAAAACGCCAAACATAGATTTCATTTCGTATCTTGCACAACATATATTGCACCACGTCGATTGCACCACATATATTCTCCTTTCTAAAAAGAAAATAGACTCTCCCCCCCCCGGCGTTATCGCTTCACCTTTCGGGTATGTAAATCACATATGATTCTGACCACATGTCCATCCTGAATATGAATTTACACTATCCCCGGGGGGGCAGGTTCCCCCCCTGAGGTTCCCTTGTAAAAAAACACTATGCGGTGACACTTTGTGTTCTAACATAGCACTTTTTCACGAGTCCCTTGCAACAAATAGGACGAAGTGCACACGCGCGCGTCGTCGCCCGCGCATGCCGAAATCCTTCAAAAACCTTCGGTGCCGGCAGGATTTCGCAATCGAGTTCCCAAAGAACATACAAAAACACAGGGTGTCGTAACAGTGTTTTGCTAAAAAAGCTTCCGCTAACATTGAGTTGCTTAACAAGCTTACGCGCGAGCTCTTGCGAAATCTTGAGGAAACCATTGGTTGTTCAATATTTTCACAACATACTACCAAACGGGCGTCGCGCGCGCATGTCGAAATCTGTCGAACGCCCTTGCGCGTGTGCCGTCGCGAGAAGCCTCTGCAAAAAAATTGGACGAAGTGCAGACGCGCGCGTCGTCGCGCGCGTACGCCCTTGCGGCGTCGTCGTCGTCGTCGTCGCCGTCTTCCCTCCTCCCGCGTCGTCGTCGTCGTCGTCGCCTACGTCGTCCTGTGTCTTTCCTCGTGTTTGTCGTCGTCGTCCTCTTTGGCGTTGTGGTCGTTTCCGTCGTCGTTGCCGCCGTGGTCGTCCTTCCTCCTCCTTCCTCGTCGTCGTCGTCGTCCGTCGTCGGCGTCTCGTCGTCGTCCCTCCTATTTCGTCGCCGTCGTCGTCGTCGTCGTTGTCGTCGTTGTCGTCGTCGTCGTCTTCCCTCCTCCCTCGTCGTTGTCGTCGTCGTCGTCGCCGTCCTTCCTCCTCCTGCGTCGTTCGCGTCGTCGCCGTCCTCCCTCCTCCCTCGTCGTTGTCGTCGTTGTCGCCGTCGTCGTCCTCCCTCCTCCCTCGTCGTCGTCTTCGTTGGCGACGTCGTCGTCGTTGTCGTCGTTGTCTTCGTCGTCGTCGTCGGCGTCGTCGTCGTCGTCGCCATCGTCGTCGTCGTCGGCGTCGTCGTCGTCATCGTCGGTGTCGTCGTCGTCGTCGTTGCCGTCGTCGAAGTCGTTGGAGACGTCGTCGGAGTCGTCGTAGTCGGTGTCGGCGGCGCCGTCGTCGTCGTTGTCGCTGTCGTCGTCGGCGTCGGTGTCGTGGCCAAGTGCCATGTGCTACCTACCGTCACGGTCTTGTCTCAAGAGGTCTTGCGACCAAGTTGCGGGTGGGAGGGTGGGATGTTTGCACGAGCAGTGGAGATGACAGCTTCAAGACGGTCAAAGTGGACTGCTCACCACATAGATTGCACCACAGATCTTGCACAACATATATTCTCCTTTATTTAATCGCTTCGCTCATTCCGCTGGCCCTCGAGCGCTCTATGGGGCCTCTTTGAAGCCTCTTGGGGGCCTCTTTGGGGCCTCCTAGGGGCCTCTTGGGGCCCTCTTGGGGGTCTCTTGGGGCTCCTTGGCGGCGTCTTGGGGCCCCCTTGGGCCTCTTGGTGGGCTCTTGGGGCCTCCCGTGGGCCTCTAAGGATCGAGAGCTCGAAATTATGTTTCGTGAACCCCCTCTTGGGGCGTTCTTGAAGCGTTCTTGGGGCCCTCTTGGCCGTCTTGGAGGCCTCTGGGGCCGTCTTGGAGCCGTCTTGGGCCATCTTGGAGCCCTCTTGGGGGCCTCTTGGGCCCTCTTGGGGCGATCTTGGAGGCCTCTTGAGCCGTTTAGGGGCGTCGGGGAACCGGAAAGGTTGAAACGCCCAAATCTGTCCAAAACCTATGGAGAAGCATTGTTTGTTTGCCTCTTGGTGTCCTCTTGGGAATGCACTTGGAGACCTCCTGGGGATCTTGGAGGCTTCTTGGTTCATCTTGGAGACGTCTTGGGCCGTCTGGAGGCCATCTTGGGCGTCGTGGAGCGATATTCGGGCGTCTCTGACCTCTCTTGGACCGTGTTGGGGGCGTTCATGGGGCCCTCTTGGGCCCTCTTGGGCTGTCCTGGAGGCCTCTGGGGCCGTCTTGGA